TTTTTTTTTTTTTAAATGCTGGTTTGTAGATAATAATTAGGAGCTTGACTTTTACTCTGTGTATGTTCGGGACCATTGCATCGTTTTGAGATGAGAAGTAACGTTAATGCCTTTCTTTTAAAGGGTTCTTACTTGCACCAACAGGTGCACAAAATGGTGTAGTTAAAAGGCCCTGCCAATATGCAACTGAGGGATGATGGAGACCCAGACCATGGTGCTAAGAAGTGGTCAGGCTTCGGGGGCATTATGAATGAAGCAATGATAGACTCTACGTGTAGATGGGGTGTAGAATGGGAGAAGATGCCTGCAAAGGTTTTGATCTGAGTGACTCCAGACCTAGTTAGAATTTCTTCTCCTGAGACGGAGAAGATGCTGCAGCAAGTTTGGGGGAGGGGAATAGGAATTCAGTTTGGGAATATGGTGCTTCAATTACCTGAGAGGTGTCAAAGTCAAGGTGAAATAAGCAGTTAGAAATAATCTGAAATCAGGATTCAGTGATGGAGGGCAGGGGATGGGGATGGAGGCTAGTAATAGTTTAATAATCACTCCCCACCAGGTACCTCCAATTAGCAGGAAAAGTCAAATGAGGAGGGGAAATTATGTGTCGGGTCATGGAGGAGCTCTAGATAGTATCCTGCAGGTGGAAACTGAGGCCTAAATAGTGGAGGTAACTTCTTCAAGATCATACTATTAGTTAGTGAAAAAGTAAGGCAGCCAGTCCCTTGGACCCCAGCCTCTCACTCTGTCTAACACATCCTCTGCCTCTGCTCTCTGTCCCCAAGGTTGCATCCAGGCTGGAAGGTGGAAATGCTATGGCTGACAACTCTGAATTCTGTTTTCTCCCAGGTCACCATCCTTGTCAGCCTGGCCCTAGCTTTCCTCGCCTGCATTGTGTTCCTGGTGGTTTACAAAGCCTTCACCTATGACCACAGCTGCCCAGAGGGATTTGTTTATAAGGTAAGGGCCTTGGGCCAGCTGGAATACTTGAAATACTTGACAATGTCTTCTGACAGTTGGTATCCATAGGTAGGGCATGATTCCTACAGCTTAAGGGAGCTCTGGTGGCCCAGTGGTAACAAGCTACCCTGTGATCCCAAGGGCACATGGTTTGGGTCCACCAACTGCTCCACACAAGGATGAGCAGTCTTCCTGTGTGATTTACTGCCTCTGAAAACCTACTGGAAGATCAAGTATTGGTCAGTTCCAACTTGACGGCACACAACAGACTGTTGAAAATGGAGCAGATGTCTTGTAGGAATCCCTGGGTGGTCCAAATAACTAAGCACCGGGCAGCTAACTATCACTTAGGTTTAAACCCACCCTTACGTGGTTTGAAAGAAAGGCCTGATGCTCTGCTTCTGAAAGTTCAAAGACTTGAAATCCCTGTGGAGCAGTTCTGCTCTACAACACTTGAGTTTGCTGTGTGTTAGCCTCAACTTGATGTCAACTGATGGCCTACTGGATTTTATGTACCTCGTAAGGAGGGAGCAGTCAAGCCTTTGTGAAAGATTCAATCTCAAGTGGGCTGTGGTGTTCCTCCTTTCTGATGACTTTCAGTGGGGTCTTGAGTTAGAGTGACCAGGTCTCAGACTGCACAGAAGCAGGGCAGGAGAGCTAACTATTCAGTGAGATAAGCTGTTCTGTCTTCAGAGAGCTCTGACTTGCTTGGCATGAGGCATCTTCATGTAGTGGCTGGTTCCTAATCTCCACAAAGGGCCTACAGAGACGTGAAAGCAAGGAATACATGCTTCTGGGACTCTCGTCCCTAGGTTTGAGGTTGGCCTTCAATGGCAGAGCCTTATTCTTCTTCCTTGACAGCTCTCTCCCCATCGTGGTCTCTTCCCTTTAAGGAACTGAACTGACATGGGAAAGTTCAATTTCCCTTGTATTTAAAATGGGGCCTGATAATGCATTCCCTAGGATTTTCACAAGGTCTAAAGGCAAAATAGTGAGTAAAATCAGTCAGAAAAAGGCTGAGTGTTCTCTTCAAGTGGTAGTTTCAACGGAGATAAAAACAGAGAATATTTATAAATTACCATTTACTGACTACCTAGTATGTCTCAGATCTGTTTGCTGGACATTTTCAGAAACATCGTATCATTTCAATTTCACTAATATTCTGCAAAATAAAATTTATGACCCACATTTACATGAGGAAATAGCTATTAGGAGAGTTTAGTGGTTTCTCTAAGACATGAGAGCTATTAAGTTCCAAGGTGAAAGAATCAAATGAGGGAAGGATTTTCTTTGAAAGCACATTATAGTTATGCTACATGACTTTCCACGGTGGCATTTTCTAATGGTTAAAAATCTTGGTTTCTGAAATATTAGAAAACAACAATAAATAGGGGACACGTTGAATACCTGAATGGTACACATACTGGGATTCTATACAACTGCAAGCGTAAGTGAAGGTCTCTATAAATAGACACAGAATATTCTCCACAATGAAATGGTCAAGTAAAGAAAGAAAGGTGCTACCGTTTTTTAGAAAGGGAGAATATTTGCCCACATTTTCAGAAGAAAACTCTGGAAGGACAAATGAAAAACTAGTAAAAAGTAGTGCCGCAGGGGAAATGGGAGGGAGGGTGCAGGTTAGAGGGGCCAGGGATGGAAGGAGGCTTTTAAAAATATATCTTGCTATGTGTTAGTCTTTGAAAGTACACAGTTTTGCAGATTCTAACAAATAAAAAAAAGAACAGTGCTTGAAGACAAAACAAACAAATCAGCAGAAGCTAAAGAAGGAGCTGCCTCTATATAAGTTAGTAACAAGAATTTACAAAGAAAGTAAATGTGTCAAGTCACTTTATTTATAATATAGTGCATTGACTGCCTGTCCTTAACTGAATATGTTCTAAGGAGAAAGCACAGCCAGGAGGCCGTGATGTTTACTCAGGGATCTGGTAGTGGTCATGCTGGTGTTATTTGCAGCTACTTTCTATATCCATCATGGTCAGCTGCCATTGACTCTGACTCATGGTGGTCCACGTGTGTCAGAGCAGAATTATCTCCCCTCAGCTTTTCCATCACTGATTTTGGGGAAGTAGGAAACCAGGCTTCCAAAGTGCCTTTGGGTGAACTCATACCTCCAACCTTTTGGTCAGTCGCTGAGCACAATAACTGCACAGCCAAGAATCCACAGGTCACCCGATGGGAGAAAGATATGTCATTCTGCTTCTGTGACAACTACATCCTTAGAAACTCTGGAGGGTAGTTCTCCACTTCCTTGTAGTGTCTATATGAGTAGGAATTGCTTCAATGGCAATGGGGTTGAGAAATAGCTCTAGAGATGGGTATATTATTGCTCTCAGATCAGAACCAACTCTTAGCTCATTAGCAGTGGGGTTTCTGAGGTTATGAATTACACCAGAGGCAATTGTCGTTTTTATTCCTATTATGCTACTGGTTGGATTTGAACTACCGAAAGAGTCAGCTTTTGGGTTAGCAGCCCAACTCCAATGGGCTGTGCCACCTGAAATATATATATATATATATATATATGCCATCACTGTCAGTGAGCTCAGGAGCTTGGTTTTAACTCAGTATTGAACTAAGTTTCTTCTCTTCCAGCTTCAGGTAAGTGGCAGGTTTGGTGATGGTAGTGATGGCGGAGATGGCTGTGCTGTCAGTGAAAGTGCACCGTGTGTGCCAGGCCCAGGCCAGGGGCTCTCACCTGCTCTCAGACTGAGGCTCTGACATGCCCACGACCCCCGGGTGGGCTGGCCACGTCTCAGAGTGGGTGGGAAACAGTCACTGGATCATTTCTAACTCTGTCTCCTCCTCCTTTCCTTAGCACAAGCGCTGTATCCCAGCCTCCCTGGATGCTTACTACTCCTCCCAGGACCCCAATTCCAGAAGCCGTTTCTACACAGTCATCAGCCACTACAGCGTGGCCAAGCAGAGCACTGCCCGGGCCATCGGGCCGTGGCTGTCGGCAGCTGCTGTCATTCATGAGCCCAAGCCGCCCAAGACCCAGGGCCACTAGAGTCCCACTCCAGTCAGAATGGGGGGCGGAGAGGGGCCCCTGCTGGCTATGCCAAGCTCCAGTTACAAGACAACACTGTACTCCTGGGAGGCGGGGGTGGGGGAGGGCAGGGGCGGGGGGAGGAACTCACCGAAGCTATCGTGCACTGGAGTTGTCTGAATCGATATTTCTTTTTGTCCCTTGGTATCGTTGATTCGTCCCAGAGTCAGACTCATGTACAAAGGCATGTTTCGTGTTGATTGTTCCCATGTAAGATATTTTCAAAGCCACTGCTTATTCTTTGTTAGGAAAACATAAAAGCAGAAAAGGAAGACAAAACAAAGGCAATGGATAACAACAGCAACAAATGGCATTAAGCTAAATCTGAACAGATTGACTAAATCTGGATGATGCTGAAAGGAAGTGAGGGACACAGACTCTGGGCTTCTTAGATGAGGAATCGCAGCTTCTCTGTGGGCTCCAGGGTGTTTGGAACACATAAGTGACACACACTGGCGAGTTGGACTGTCTCATGGTCCACAGGTTAGAGATATGAGAAGTTAGAGATGGCTGAGCTTAGAGAGGAGGCCCAGGACACACACATAACACAACCCAGAGTGAAATGTCTCGACCTCTGATGTGTTGTACAAGATCAGTGAAAGCTGGCAGAGGTAGCCTCAGATGGGCCTGGGCAGCCTGTGGCTTCATGCTGAGTGCACCTCGAGGTGATAACACTCTGTAAGCACAAATGCTGAGCAGTGGGCAGCTTTGCTTTTGTCTTTTCCTTGTTTTTCTAGATTGGCACCTGCATAATGCCCATGTTTATGAGACGGCAGGGGTGGAAAGAGAGAGAAGGAAGAGGAGGAGGCCACAGGGACAAGGAAGAAGGCATGGGACAAGCGTGCAACAGGGGGTCAAGAGAGAAGCACAGGCACCAATTCTTTAAAACACCAAACCCAAACAACCCAAAACTTCTGTTCGTTTATTGTTTCCCAAAATGCTAATGACAGCAGTAACCACTGTCAGAATAAGCCTGTAGCCAAACACTTCCTTAAGAAGACTTTTAGAAATTAGGCTGCACCAAGGTCATAGCATTCCTAAAGGAATTGGAGAAACAGGAACTGACTTTTGCCTACTTAAGTATATTGACAGGGACATTTGTCCGAACTTCACAATCTGGTTGTAGAAAGCTTCTAGAAGCTCTGAAAAGGGGGCAGCATTTGAAACTGACCAGGCCCTTCACTGACCTAGAACCACATAAGGATTTCCCACATTTCTCTTACACAACACTTTGGGAAAGCTTGTTCTCGGAGGTGTTGGCCCTAGAACCAATAGGATCCAAACTGGCCAGGAGAGTTGATTAGTTGAGATGAGGTACTGTTTCACCAGGAGTCTTTGATAGGCCATTTCAAGGGGGTTTTTAGTGGCTTACAATGTTGCCAAAATCATCATATACAACAGCTGAGTAATAAGACTAGTGTAGCTCAAACTATCCTGCCAAATGACATCATCTGATTTTTCCTCCCTTCCCCTCTACCGTCCCATTACCTTGAGTCACCTGTAAATTCATTTGTCATCTGAAGCGGAATAACAAATTGTCCCTAGCAAAACCGCTGAGCGCTTTATAATTTTGTGGTGTATTTTTGTCAGTAGGTAGCAGAGGCTGAAGTATTTTTTGGTGTAATTCTTGAAATTTTCTGACAGGAAACAAATAAAGATAGATGTGTCTGAGAGTCTTGACTTCCTTTTTCCACTTTCTTTGTCTTCTCTGTGAACCTGATGGGGGAGACTCTGGGAGTAGTGGGTCCTAGGGGGCAGGCTGAGCTCAGAGGGCAGAGCACCCTATTACCCCTATTATGCCCTATTACCCCTATCTGGACCTGGAATAGGGCTGGGGGTTGGGCCTTGGGCAAATGGGACTTGAACTCTGATACTTAAGTCATAATCAAGGACTAGATAGGTACCTGGCTACTTTCCACTGCAGGTTTCTTCATCCTGGGAGCATCTGCTGAGGTCTCCCTCAGGGTCAGGTACTGCTGGGTACAGGTGATACAATGATGAGTCATGTACACGCACTGCCCTGGAGCCCTCGGGGAGAGTCAGGTATGGGAATAGAAAGTGGCTAAGGAAGAGCCTTGGAGCAAATGGTCATTGACAAGATGACAAGTAAGGAATCTGACCTTCTTCCTCATTAACATTCATTGGAACCTGGTGGAGTCCTTGGGCAGTGGAAACCCTTAGCTGCTAACAAAAAGATTTAAGGTTCGAGACCACCTAGAGGTATTTCAGAAGAAAGACCTGATGCTACACTTACAAAAAAGAAAAAAAGTCTCAGCCCCTGAAAACTCTGTGGAGCACAGTTCTATTGTAACAAGAATGATGGAGTTGTCAGGAATCAGAAATGACACAGAAACAACTGTTATATACCTTTGGTGATTAAAGGAAAGAAAAAATAAAACCCCACCAAAAACAAAAAACCAATTATCATTGACTTAATTCTAACTCATGGTAATGCCATATGTGTCAGATTAAAACTGTGTCCCTCAGGCTTTTCAATGGCTACAGTTAACCCCCTCTCATAGTTGAGGAGCTTGAGGCTCAGAGGTATGAAGTGACAGTGCTAACGCTGTAGCAGAGGTGCTGGGATTCGAACTCGGGTTGTGTGACTTCTTTGCTCCCTTTGGAGTGTGTCTGCTCTACTCGAGAGCCTGAGAGCACTGCCACGCCGACCTCATTCCTCAAAAACCACGTCACAGGCCTCAGAGGAGTGAACCCTCTCGTTCTCAGCCAGAACTCAGAATCCCTGGTTCGTGCTAACAATAACCCAAACCGAACCAAACCTGTTGCCGGCACGTTTACACTGACTCAGTGAGTAGAGCAGAACTGCCCGCGAGGGTTTCCAAAGCTGTAAATCTTTATGAATGAAGAATGCCACATCTTTGCCCTGCAGGGCAGCTGGTGGGCTCAAACTGCCTACCTTTCTGTCAATAGCTTAATCACTATACCACCAGCGTTCTCAGGTGCTCATTTTACAAGGCAAATGCTGCCCATTTGTGCCTTAATGGCAATAATCCTCGTAATTCATCAAGGTACAGACCTATGTCACTGTCAGCTTCTATCATCATTCCCATCCAAATGGAGGTGCAGAGCTGTGAAATCACTTGCCTAAGGCCATATGTTTGTATGGGGCACCAGTGCTTGAACGTTGTATCTTTTAGCAGTAACTCTCATCTCTACACTACACTTGGCGGTTTGCACTTGTTAGAAGTCATTGGATTGGTTTTGACTCTCAGCGATCCTTTGTGTACAGGGAGGAAAAGGGGGACAGACAGATTCCATCCAGTCCAGACTATCCTCACAATCATTGCTGTATTTGAGTCCATCGCTACAGCCCTCGTGTATCCTTCCTCCCTTCCGCTGACCCTCCATCTCGCCAAGCATCATGGCATTCTCCTGGGACTGGCCTTTCCTAATAACATTGCCCAAACCAAGGTCATGCAAAGAGGGCTCATCCTCTCTTCTAAGGAGCACGCTGGTTGCATTTTTTCTTTCCAAGACATTTCTGTTCCCAAATCTTACATAGCTGAGATGGTTGACCCTTTGAGGCTGGATCTTCATTCTGAACAGGATTGGGAGTGAAGTTCCACGTTGACTACTCCACAGAGCACACATCATGGGTGTGGAATGAAGGAGCCAGTGGTTGCCATGCACCTCCTCCACTTTGGCACTTGACAGGCTGCTGAGGAGACCAGGTGAATTGGAGCGTTGGACAGCCCCACCCCCACCCCTCAAACCCTGGGCTCTCAGGCTCCCAGTAGGCAGATGGTGAGCTGGGAAGGACAAGGCGATCATCAGCACTGGTGTTGCCCTCACAAAGGCAGGCAGTTCCATATGGCCAACACGTAAATACCGATTTTTTTCAATTACAGAAAATCAACTAAAGACTTAATGAACACATGTTGAAACATTCTGTAATAAATGAATTTGCCACTCCATTGCCTCAAAAAACAAACTGACGCTATCTTTTCTCTGGAGTGAACAGCCTATGAGTCTGTGAATGAAAATGAGAGAGGGGAAGGGATAGGAGATAGGTCACAGGTATTTCTGTTTAGAAAGGACCCTGGGTCCAGGTGCTATTTCTAATGGAATAATAATTGTCACTTGGAGGGAGGGAAGGGGTGGGGGAGAGAGAGAGAGAAACACTGAATTCCCTCATGAGCATAGTGAATGGAGGATCAGTTAGAAGAATCAGGCCTAGGTATGACCAAGGGCTTTGCTCATGGTAAAGCTTCTTTGTTTTGGGGAGATGGAAATGCTGATTTCTTAGGGCTACAGCAACAGAGCAACACAAACTGGTTGGCTTAAAACATGAGGAAATTATTCTTGTTTTATGCTCTAAAGCCTAGAAGTTCACATCCTGTGCTTTCTCTATGAATTCCCTGGGGAAGATCCTTTCTTGCCAATTTTAGCTTCTAGCAGTTCCTGGATCCTTGGCTTGTAGGTATATCACTCCAGTCTCTGCCTCCACCATCACATGCCCCTCACTTTCTTCTCCCCCTTTAAAAAGGGATACTATTCACTTGGATAGGACAGCTCAGTGGTAAGGAGTTGTACTGCCAACCCAAAGGCACACGGTTCAAATCTACCACTGCTCATAGGAGAAAGATGGGTAATCTCTTCCCATGAAATTTACAGCCTCTGAAAATCTGCTGGATCTTTAACAACAGCATCTATTTCTGTGGGACTTTATGTTAACTGACAACATAACATCTTCAAAGATTTTATTTCTAAGCAAACCTAGTTCACGGGGACTGGAGGTTAGAACTTGAATGTGTTTTCACTGGGGGCACAGTTCAGCCCTCACCATGAACTTCACAGAGCCCCGCTGGCTGACAGAGTCAGGGGAGCCAGGGAATGATCATAGAAGCAGCAGGTTATGGTTTCTTTTGTGGAACAAGCTGTGCTGTGATGTTTACACACTGCTTATGAGACTCCTCAAATTGTGACCATCTCTTTTGAGAGGCTCACAGCCCATGAGGGAGGTGAGACAGGATCAGGGATGGGGAGAGAGCCAGCAGGGGTGAAAAACACAAAATGGGGAGGTTGAAGAAGCTGTGGGTTCTTGAAGGAAGTGGCTTTAGAGCAGGTTCTTGAAGTGCAGGTAGCATTATGATGGAGGAGTTCCACATGGTGAGGAA